TCCGCTGGACTCAACTTCCACTGCGGCTTTGCTACTGGCCTGCTCCCCGGCTCCAACTCTATTCGATGATCTACTGCTCGGCTGGGAGGTAACCGTGGGGGCAATTCGTCGGGGAAGACGTCTGCGAACTCTGCTAACAGTGCACTCACCTCAGCAGGAAGAGTCGCCTTCTCACCAACTGCTGCACTCCCTCCTTTCCCCTCCTCAGCTTCCACCTCCTCAAGGAAAACCGCAAAGATCCGTGACGCTCGCTTCACCAGCTGTCGCACACGAACAGCATTGATGATGGCTGTGGAGGATGTGGCCCCATCACTCCACTGTGGCAGCTCCCGGAACTCCCCGTCTACCTTGACGCTGCAGCTTCCCTGAGCCCAATCGAACTGTGTACTAACCGTCCGTAGCCAATCCCTACCGAAGATGAAGTCGTATCCGTCCAGCGTCGCAGAGTCGAAATCACGCCTAACTGTGATCGGTCCTAGCACTACGCGCAACTTGCGAATGACTGGTCCTATGTGAAGTGGCATCCCATCTACCATACGCGCGTCCTTGAAGTTGACTGCCGAATCTGCTTCGAGATGGAGACGACTGACTAATGGAGAAGAGACGAATGAGTGGCTAGCTCCGCTATCTACGAGAATCTTAACAGGAACTCCGCGAAGCTTCCCTAGAAGCACGACTGGACGATCAACAGCGTCTACCGAGTTCGGTGTAGGTGACTGCTCTAAGGCCGTCTCCTCTACGTTGGTAGACGTGGCGGGTACGGGAACCTCCACACCAGCTAGCGACCCGCTATCTACTGGCGGTTTCCGTTTCCCTGCTGCCGCTCCTTAAGCTGTGGGCAGTCCCGCTTCATGTGTCCCGGCTTTTAGCAGTAGTGACAGTTCCCCCTAAATCCCGTTTTCTGTGAGCCGTCACTGTTAACTGCACCAATCTCCATGGGCGATGGTCCGTCCCTCGATCGAGCGTCGTTGATCGGTCTGTTGTATCCCCTATCGCGATCGTCACGACCCCGTCGGCTTCGTACTGCGTCGACGCGTTCTTCTGCTACGACAACTGACTCGAAGGTGGACGACCCATGAATCGCTATAACTTCTGCTATGTCCGGCTTCAACCCCTCGAGGTAGCGATCGCGCATCTCTGCTTCCGTGATATCGTCTATCTCGTTGCAGATGCTCAAGAACCGTCGTGTGTACTCCTGGACGTTTCCTATCCGTCGGGAATGACGCAGACGCTTCCTAGCAGCTTCGGAGGCGTTCACCAAATCGAACCTACTTTTCAGCGCCGCTTCAAATTCTTCCCATGTGGTCGGAACCGTGGTAACACCCAAAGCTAAACTCCCTAAGCTCGAAGTTGCAGCTGCATGCCCCACGCCCTGTTGATGCCCATCCGTCTTAGCCCTTCTAACAGCAGTCTACGTAAGTTGGCGCCACCACTCCAAGGCCGGGCCCCTCAGCAGCGTAACAGCGTACTCGATCCGCTGCTGCGCGTCCGCCTCTTGCACCCCGCTCGCGGCGAAGTAGTTGTTCAGCATGAAGAGCCACGTCCGCACGTTCGCGTCGCGTTCACTTGGGTCGAACGACTCGGGTTTCTGCGGCTTAAGCGCGCTTCGACGTTCCGGCAGCGCTTCCGCGCCAGTCGACGTGTTGGGCGCAAGAGTTGGTGCGGCATGACCATGGGGGTTAGAAGCCAATTCACGAAGCTGTTGCATTTCAGCTCGTACCTGACGATTTTCCAACGTCAACTCTTGAAGTTGGCGCATGAGTTCGGCAAGCGTATTGCCCATGTCGTGGGGGAGAGCGTGCATGGTTTCGTCCATGTCCGCTCGACGACTCCAAGTCTGCAAGTCGGCACCGCGGGACGATGACGTCGTAGTCTCGTCGTCAACGGTCGCTCGTTGGAAGTCGCTCCCCGCGAAGGCTCTGATACCAAGTGTTAGACCCGATGGCCTAAATCCGCTAAAGAATTAGCGGGGTCGACTAAGTCGAGGATGAAACGTGGCGGAAGACTTTGGCGAAAGAACTATTGGCGAAATAGGCGAAGAAGTTACTGAGTAATTGAAGAAGAGTTGAATGAGAATTGGTTGATAATGCCAAGTACAAGCAAGGTTTAAGTAGCATGCAAGAAACAAGGTTGGAAAGTAGATTGTGGGACTAGGAATTGTGAAGCTAGAAAAGTAGAGTGCCACATGGCACTAGAGAATCTGAGAAGATAAGGATAAGGGTGATTTGGAAAGTACAGTAAATCCCCCCTTAACAGATTGCACTATTGAGCTCATAATACAAGTTACGTATATCATTATCCACACCCGATGTACGTAATGATATACATGCAGGTTTGTGTTGCAGACGGGTGTTGATTTCGCTCAATATCGTAGGTTATCTGGAATATCGCCACCATGTTTCCGCCTCCACGGCAATGCTGCAGTACGGTGACTGAAAGCCCAATGACAACGGTTCCTAGTCTCCAGCGGTGCACTGTGATCTGGCTAGCAGCAACAGTTGACGCTGATTGTGGCAGGATCAGATATTATCACTGCTGCTGGTCGATACCAGACAGTTTTGCCTTTGTCCTCCATCCGAGTCAGCATTTCTGACAAGAGTACACAAGCAGGAGTGTGGCGGTGGGCCAGGATGGGGTTATCATACAGCCTTCAATCACTTGCATGCAGGATCTCTTTGAGCTAAGGGCGTGTCTGAAGTGAAACGTCGACGATGTACAGTTTCGTCGAGGAGTGTCGGTGAGTTTCAACCCTCGGATCGAGCGTTCCAACCGTCAGGATTCCTCGACATCCCTCAAAGTTTCGTCGAGGAATGTCGACGTTCACTTCAGACACGCTCTAAACTCACCGTCCACGTCATGATGTGTGGCGCAGCCGTGGAAAGCTACTGCCAGGTTCCACCTTTCTACCTGCCAATCCCGTGCCTAGCCGCCAGAAAAGCTGGAATCTGTGGCTTATGTGGTCCCAAAAGTGCCCTACTTTCCCGCCGAGTCTGCTGGCCCTTGGCCCACTGCACGTCAACATCAGGGATATCTTGTCGTTCCACCTCATCCTCTTGTTCCGCGCTGCGCCTATTTATTCCTGCCAGGTCATTGCACTGTGGCGGTCCGATCAAAAGCGCGTGGCGCTCCGTCCGTTCGATTCCATTTCGAGCGGCTTGATTAGAAATTGTCGTCACACGGCCAAACAGAGGGACTGCTGGTGCTGCCCTGCTGTATGATATCCATCCATAATTCCCTCTACCACCATACCTTCCACTTCCTTCCATCCTGTTCCTCCGGCTCTTTTCTCGAAGTTCCCAAGGCGGCCTCGGTCAGCAGCAAGCAGAAAACAAACAGCAAAAGTCGAACACTGAAACGTAACACCAACAGCTCAGCACAGCACAAAGTCACAGCACTGCAACCTCGTCGATCTGGCCAGCTCATCCTTCCTCGAGGTTCCGCGATACACGTACCTCCGAGCCAAGGGTAATTTGCATTCTTCGAGATAATCCTCTCCTCGCTGCTCAGTCCTGAGCCCAGAAGAACGTGTAGCGGTGGTTTTGCTCCTCAAGCGGACACCGCAACAGCACCCGATCCAAACCAACACAACCTGGCACTTGCCTTGTTGTTCAAGCTGACAGCAACTGAGCTTGGCATCCCATTTCCTTCCCTGCAGCAGCATTGCAGAGGACCAAAACTTTGGCAGCGAAGCCTGACAGTCACAGCACGTGAGCTTGTGCGATTCAGGTCTCGCAAAACGTGGGACAACATACAGTCAGGGTGTAGTACGTGTGCGTGGAGTAGTGCAAGCAAACGAAGACGTTGCTCTGCATTCACTGAACCCCAGCTTCAAGTTGCTAAGATCCGCGGCATAGCGGCGTCTTCCGAGTCGCTTCGTGCCTCTTCTTCCGTCCCCCCACCCCCCTCCCCCGCAAGGATTAGTCAGTAACGTGGGACGGGAACCTAGCCACTGAAATGGATTCCATAGACAGCGTAAACCTTTCGGCCCCGCGTCCTCGACCACCATCGGTGCGAGTGAGGCTGAACCAGCCGTCTTACACGGCCGGCGAAGGCGTCATTCTTACAGTGCACATTGAGAACCGATCCGCGCATTACGCGGGTGGTCGCCAGAGAGATTACAGTCAGCAGCAGCAGCAGCAGCAGCAGTATCAGCGCGGAGACTATGGCGCTGACGGATCGGTTCAGCTGGAGAGCCTGAGCGTTGAAGTGAAGGGTGTCATTCGATCCGCGTCGGCGCCACGTGCGGATACAACATGGTCTTGCGCCGGTAAGGAGGAATCGCTTCGTGATTCTGTCGCAACAGGCCCTCGCTCTCTCTCGGTTTTTACAAGAAAAAAAATGTGAGCTCGTCACAGCCTCCCGAAACAGCGGACTCCTATTCCCGTCAGAGTCGTTAAAACCGAGCGATCACAGGCTGTTTTCTTGAATCAAGGGCCGCTGGAAGGATGATGCAATCGCCGGGACCTGCGCCGTTCTGCTCGCACCACAACAAGCTTGAAGGAGTTTCAACGACCACAAATGTTTCGACGACCTCATGATCTGCTTGTGTCCCTCCTCACTCCGTTCCGTGCCTCCGCTCCATTCCGTGCCTCCGCTCCATTCCGTGCCTCCGTTCCATTCCGTGCCTCGTGGTGCTTACAGGCGACCAGCCGTGCCTCGTGGCTCGTCCACTCCGCCTCGCCATCCACGCGCCGCTTGATCCGGGCTCCTCCAAGTGCTGTAAGCCGCTCGCTCCGCGCCGCTTTCCGTCCCCCTCTCTTCTCCTCCCCCTTTCTTCTCCCTTCTTCTCCCCTCTCTTCTCCTCCCGTCCACCCCAACCCACTCCCTTCTCGTACTCCCGCCGTCTCGTTTTCTCGTTGCTTACTTCACTTCGTCTTGCTCATAGCGGGTTACACTTGTCTGCCTCCCCATTTCACGCCTCATTTTGTCCCTCCACCCGCTTTCCGGTCCCAGATACCATCGAGATATCTTTGCCGAGTAATGCGCTTCCATCGGGGCGCATGGCCGGAAACGACTCGTTCGCGCTCCCCCTCTCGCTCCCCCTCGATGACGACGCGACCGACCTCTCCGCGCATGAGCCCGCTTCCGCCACCGTGCTCTACCTCGTGTCTGTTTCCGCCGACTGGTGCGGGATCTCCGTCCCCTGCTCCCCCTCCGTCACCTCCGCCGCCGCCGCCGCCGCCGTCGCCCGCCCCGTGGTATGTGCACAGTCCTCTTCCTCTTTCTCGTTTCCTCTCTCAAACAGTCTTTCTCTGTCTCTCTCCTGGTCTCTCACTCTTCCATGTGTTTCTTTCTGCTCGTCCTGTCCGTGTGTGTGCAGGAGCTCTTGGCGTGGTTCAAGGTGAAAGCCGCCGCTGGTATTAGCCACGGCCCAGCAAACGCGGCGTTCAACCCAGGTGAGCCCTCAGCTGCTGCTGCTGCTGCTGCTGCGTGTGCCGCTACCATGCTCGTCTTTTCCATTCGCTGTCTCCGAGACAAGCCACGCTCCTCATCTTTCTCTTTCACACCCCGTGGCCTCTGACTCATCCCCAGCCTATCTTCCCTTCCCCCTTCCTCTCCCCTCCCCCTCCCCTCGCCATCTCCCCTCCCCCCGCGCCAGCCTGCCCGCCCTGCGCGCGCCTGTCCGCGCACGAGAGTCCATCCGGCGGCCCCTCCGCCGCGCTTGCGCCCTCGCTCTCCGCCGCCACCGCACTGGCCTCCCCGAGCTACCAAGTGAGTCGCGGGATGTGGCTCCGCAAGGGGCGCGGGAATGCGGAAGCTCGATGGGTGGGAAGAAGGGGAGGGGGGTGGGTGGGGCGGTGTGAAGGGTGACTCGTGGGACAAGTACCGAATATAGTTGCAATCTGTTTGTTACGTCCCCTCTACTTTCCTTTACCCCGTTCTCACATGTGCATTTACCTCCCGCAACTCCTTCGTGCCCCTTCCATTTCCGCCCCTCCCTTTGCGCGCCGCCCCTCCGCACAGTCCCCGTTCCGCCTTCCGCACCTCACCACGCCTATCGCCTCCGCCTTCCCCGGGGGCTCCTCCCTTCCGCCCACGCCCACGGCCACAACCCCCTCCCCCGCCTCCACCCCCCTCCAATCCCGCCGGCTGCTCCCCCACCTGTCCGCGCCGCGTGAGGGCTCTCACGCGCCGTCCCGCGCGCCGCCTTGCCCTGATGATGTGGAGGCCGTGAGCGTCGCCACTGTGCTGCCGTGTGACGTCAGCAGCAGCAGCAGATTCGGCGCATGGGGATGGGCGCAGGGGCAAGGTAACGGCCATGGCGCGAGCAGCAACGCGGATGAAAGCTGCATTGGGAATAAGCACATGCGAGAAGCAGAAGCAGACGAATCAGCCGCCGGCGCAGCGATGGCGGCGGCGGCGGCGCACGCAGTGCATGGGCTGGCGCATGTTCCGGAAGGCTTCATCGTGGCGCACAGCAGCGGCAGCGGCAGCAGCAACAGCAGCGTGTGGGGCGGCAGCAGCAACGGCAGCCGCGGCAGCATCGGCAGCTGTAGCAGCAGCATCAGGAGGCGGAGCGACGAGGGGTCCGCAATTTCCGCCGCCGCCGCGGCCGCTGCCTCCATCGCTGCTGCTCGCGCGGGGGGGAAGAAGGCGGAACGTGAGGGTGCGGAGTGGGGGGCGGTGGCGGGGGGGATGGGCGGAAGGGGGATGGTGCGGTCGTCAACAACAGGGCAGGTGGCAGAATGGGGCGGGGGAGCGGGGGGAAGCGAGCTTGTGGGAATCGCGGAAGCGGTTACAGGTGTGGTACCAACGGGATCAGCGGTTGCAGGAGTGGGCGCGCGCGGTATGCGGAGGAGTTGCAGTGACGACGATGGTATGCGCGGGCATGGGCGTGGTGGCAAAGGGGGACCCATGTGGGGAAGCGGAGGGAGCGCGGAAGAGGCGGAGGGGGGGGAGGCGGAAGGGGAAAACACCTACAGCAGCAGCAGTGGTAGCAGTGCAGGATGGGGTACGGAGGAGGGTAGTGAGGAAGCGAACTATGGGAATAGTCGCAGAACCATGTCTCTGCCGGCGTCAAGGAGGCTCCCTTCCGTTCCAGTAGAAGGTACGTGTGTGTGGGAGAGGAGAGAGGAGGAGAACGGGAGAACAGGGGTACATTGGTCGAGGGCATGGATTGGGGGGGAGTCTGAGCGATGGGAGGCATGAGATGGGGAAAGCGGAGTGTTAATTGCTGTAAGATTGAGAGGAAAGGTGTGCTGAATGGCCTTTCATTTTTCGTCCCCTTCTCATCCCTCTCGTCCCTTGTGCTTTCCCTTGTGTCCCCCCTCACTGTTGCAGGCCTATTGGCCCCGGAGCACGAGCAGGAGTTCCCTCGGCAGCTGCTGCTGCAGCCCCAGCACATCGGAACTCTGCCACCCCATGCGCCCCACTCCCCCCGTGCTCCCCACACCCACCACGCCGACAATGCCAATTTTGGCAACCATGCCATTTTTGGCAACCACACCCACCATGGCCTCTACCCTGTCTGTCGCGGTCCAGACTGCCAGCACACTTCGTGCGATGCAATGCCGATCGGCTCCCCTGCAGACTGCCTCAACTGGAAAGGTCAGTTCCTTACATCTTGAGACATTTTATCTCGAGGCTTAAACCCTGAACCAGTTCATCATGCATGAACTGATTGACTTGCACCTGAGCCTTTTTTGGTCGCGGTACCCTGATCTTCATCGCCTTTCTCTTTGCCTCTCTACCCCTCTCAACCGTTCTCCCTCCCGTCGCATCACCTTGCATCCGCTCCCTTTCTGCCCCCTCCCTTCCCTACCACGCAGAGGTGGAGGCGTTCTGTCGCAACATGGACAGCGCACGCGTGCGCATAGAGTCTATTGACATCCAGCACGAGTCACGGAACAAGAATCCCGCACCGCATGGCGTGCGAAGCGCAGCCAAGGCAGGCTTTCGAACCAAGGCCATGCACGGAGAGGATGGGGACGGGGAGGGCGGCGAGGCGGAGGAGGGACAAGGGGAGCAGGAGCAGGAAAATGGGAAGCGGAGGGAGAGGGAGGAGGTGGCGGGGATGGAGGCGTGCAGCCGAGTGCTGTTTGCAGTGAAGTTCCAAGGCATGTCGCTGTGGCATTACCCTGCCACTGACAGCGTGAAGCCATTGTTCCGCATGGCTTCTTGACACTCATTTATAGGAGAAGGGTGGATGGGAGGGGCATGGGGGGATGGGGGGATGGGGATGGGGACAGGAAAGAAACGGTTGTGTTTTGTGGGCGTGAGTGAGGGTAGAGAGCCACAACATATGCGACACGGATATCAATTTTTATTCTTCATTTATTTCTTCCTCTTTTCTTTTAGCGGCCTAGAGCATTTTATGAATAAAAAGTTCGTAGCAGCCTCTACATTTATGCGTAGGTGATCAGCTCTGGTTGCAGAACACCTGTATCAGAGTCTGGAAAAAGCGGTAGGAATGATAACAATGGCATGTTTCTGCAGAGAAGCACTGCTGTTAACATATTGCAGTAGAAAATTGATCATTAGCAGGTGCACAAGCTATTGATAGATGTACACGTCAAGGACAAACGCGAATACGGTATTTTGACTTCAACAGCAGCTGATGCAGCTTCAACCTTTCTGCAAGCAAGCAGCACCTGCATAGTACCGTACAATGCAGAAAGCATGGTATCTACATACAGCATACTCGCCACGCGGAGTGCACAAGTTCCGTTTCCCATATGTTATACGGTAGTGCCTGGCCTTGCGTGTTACAGTGGGATGTGTGAAAGAAGACACACTTGACTTTGATTCGAAATCGTGAACGGAGATGGTTAAAGCCCGAGTACCACATTGTCAAATGTTTTAGCCTGTAGTGAGGTATGTCTTAAGGGGTACAGATGTTAGGGTTTGTTATATGTACCCCAACCCACATCAATGAACCAACACTTTCATTCTTGATATGGTATCACCTAGGTTAGGATCCTGTGGGATCCCTTTCCTCTCGTTCACGTCCGTAGCGCCCGAGCCTGTCCCGTACCCTAGTGCCCGTTACGCTCGTACTGTCCCCTAGCGCCCATCGCGCCTGCCGTTACGTCGCTCTCGTGCCCTCGCGCCCGCTGCACCTGCCGTTACGTCGCTCTCGTGCCCTCGCGCCCGCTGCGCCTGCCGTTACGTCGCTCTCGTGCCCTAGCGCCCGCTGCGCCTGCCGTTACGTCGCTCTAGTGCCCTAGCGCCCGCTGCTCTGTCCGTGTGCGTCGTGCCGTCCGTCCCGTCCCGTCCGTCCGCGTCACGCTGCCCGTCCGCGTCGCGCCTTCAGTCCTGTCCCGTCCGTCCGCGTCGCGCCGTCCGTCCCGTCCCGTCCCGTCCGTCCGTCTCGTCCGTCCGTCCTGTCCCGTCCCGTCCCGGCCGTCCCGTCCCGTCCGTCCGTCCCATCCCGTCCCGTCCGTCCCGTCCGTCCGCGTCGCGCTGCCCGTCCGTCCCGTCCCTTCGCGTCGCGTCGCGCTGCTCGTCCGCGTCGCGCAGTCCGTCCCGTCCCGTCGCGTCGCGTCGTGTCGCGCTGCCCGTCCTGTCCCGCTGCGTCGCATCGCGCTACCCCTGCCCGTGGCGCTGCGCCCTCCTAGTCCAGTAGTGTTGCGCCCTACCCTATGTCCCGTAGCGCCCTACTGAGTCGCTCTCAGTGATTAGGGTTTCAGCAGCAGCACTTCCCACCTCTTTGCTTTTGCTATGGCGACCCCTAGGGTTCTTCGTTTTGACGTTGACGGTAGACCGCTCGAGTTTCCGGTCTACCTCCTACGCGCGCGTCGCCTTTTAGAGAGTCAGGTCCAGGCGGGCGAGTCCCTCTGGGCGCACGCTACTGGTGACCTTCCTGCGCCCGACGACCCTACACCTTAAGGCCCTGCCCCTGACGTCGCCGCCAGAGACCGCTTTACCCGCCAGCGTGCTGACCTGACGGCGTGGAAGTCGCGTGACGCTGCGGCCTGCATCGCTCTTAGCAGCCTCCTCCCTGAGTCTGAGGAGGCCCACTTCACTCAGGTTCGCACTGCTAGTGAGTTCCTGACTGCGATCAAGGCCCGCTACGCTACTCCCACCACTGTCTCCCTTGGCCGCCTCTTCCTACCGTTCTTGTTCCCTGACCTCGCCTCGTTTGAGCGCTCTACTGACTTGATTGCTCACCTCCGCTCGCTCGATTCTAGCTATCGCGCTGCTTGCACTGACGCACAGCTTGCACTGCTTCCCCCTCCTATGGCGATTACTATCTACTTCATTGCCACTAGCCTCCCTGACCGCCTTGCCTCGGTTTGTGACACGCTTCTTCTGAAGCACCCTAGTGAGCTCACTATCGAGGTCCTTGAGTCTGCGCTCAAGGACGTCGAGAGCAACCTCCGCTCAGTAGCCTCCGCCTCTGGTGCTGTGCCCCCTCCACTGTTTCACGGGTGCACTGTCCCTCAGCTGCCCACTTTTACTGCCTCGCTAACCACTGCCACTACTGACGTGACCGCAGCTGCAGTTACGACTACGTCGCGGTCTCGAGATAGGGGTGGCAGGAGGGGCGGTCAGGGTGCAGGCGGCGGCGGCGGTGGCGGCGTTGGCGGCGGAGGTGGTGGGGGTGGCGTGTCGACCGGTGGCGGCGGGAGCGTAGGGCCTGGAGAGGCGTCTCGTGCAGCGGCCAGTGACTCCCCTACTGCAGCTGGTGGAGGCGACACCCGGACTCGTCAACCTCCTCCTGGTCTGCCGGCCGCGGTGGGTGGAGCAGCGGCGTGGTATCTGGCCCAGCGACAGTAGCAGGTGCAGCAGCAGCAGCCCCTCCCCTTGCAGCAGCCCCCCCAGCAGCAGCGGCAGCAGCAGGTTTCAAGGCTGGGACAACGTCCGCCCCAGCGAGGTGCTGTTCACCCTTCGTGCACCTATCAGGTTCTGACAAGTGCTCGCCGAGGCCAGCCTTGTGGTCGCACCCACCCTCCTGGTCAGTGCTTTGCTCAGCTCACTGACACGGTTCGCTTGGCCTTCGGCGTTGGCGGCCCTGCCCCTGACTGGTTACCTCTTGTTCAGACGTACGACTCCGCTCTTTGGGGCATGTCTGCTTCTCAGTTGCTTGATCTCTTAGGAACTCCTCATGCTATGTATGCTGTTGTTGATTCTAGTGCTTCTGACTCTGTTTACTCGTGTGTTGTTAGCTTAGGTGCTAGTCTTGCTGAGTTGCCTGTTGCTAGTGTAGGCACTTGTGTAGACACTAGTCCAGGCGCTACTTCGGAGGACGCTTCGCTGTCTTTCACTCTGGACTCCGGGGCTTCGCACTGCTTCTTCCGCGACCACACGACACTTACTCCACTTCCTGCGCCAGTCTCTGCGGCTCTGGCTGATCCCACCTCGGGACCAGTCACTGCTCGCTACACTACTGCTGTTCCCTCTGGGTCTTTGACTGGCTTCCACGTCCCCTCGTTCTCGAGGAACTTGGTGGGCGTGAGGCCTCTTGTGAGTCAGCACGTGGGTGTGTGGATTGAGCCCTCTGGTGAGACGGCGGTTTGTGTTGACGGCGACACTTACTCGCCTCTTGCCACCTTTACTGCCGAGCCGGGCTCTGGTCTCTACACACTTCACATTGGCCCTGGTGGGCAGCAGCAGCGACTCCTACCCCCGGCCTCGGTTACTTCCCCCAGTCTGGTTCCTGCGTCTCACCAGGTTGCTGCGTCCCCCCAGGTAGCTGTGTCTGGTCAGGTTCCCGTGTCTGGTCCAGTTGCTGCGTCGTTTGCACACCCCACCGTTCTGTGGCACCACCGGACGGGGCACCCGTCCCTCCCTCGTCTGCGCGCTATGTCTCGTCAGCGTCTTGTCTTAGGCCTCCCGCGTGTCTTGCCGTCGCTGCCGCCTTCGCTTGCACCGCCGTGCGGTCCCTGCGTCGAGGGTCGGCTGCGCGCCACCCCTCACTCCTCCTCACTTCGTCCGGCCACCGAGCCTTTTGACGCTCCACTTGGACGTCTGGGGTCCCGCCCCTCGCCTTGGCCCTGAGCACGAGCGTTTCTTTTTGGTGGTCGTTGACGACTACTCCCGCTACACCACAGTGTCCCCCCTGGCGAAGAAGTCTGAGGTGACTTCTACGCTGATCAGGTGGTTGCTTACCACTGAGGGCACTCGTTTTTTTTTTTTTTTTTTTTTTTTTTTTTTTTGATGCAAAGATACACTATAAGTGCAACACTACATCGGCAGTCGTAACTGTAGCTGATGGGCCTAGGGGGATTGCTCCCTCCGTACCCATCCTGATCCTCTAAGTGGGGCGGAAAGCAGCCCTCGGGTTCGACCAGATTGCCATGAAACCCTTGGCCCACGTGGCTGGTTGAGTTGAGTTGTTCAAGATGTGACCCAAGACCCGGCACTCGTCATCATCCAAGCCTGGACGAATGGCACCGAGCCTCTCAGACACCACCTTAGCACGCTTGTAGATCCTGACATGCAGCTGGAAAGACGCCGCGATCCTCCGCAGAGCCCTCCTTGCCCGGAATTTGCTGCGCTCGAAAACCGCGTCACACCTCCAAATCCGGTGGAAAGCGATTGCTGTGATTGTAGCCTCGGGGAAACCCGAAGCTGTACCACTGAGGGCACTCGTGGTCGTCGTGTCAGTTGTCTTCACTCTGACCGTGGGTGTGAGTTTCGCTCTGGCATTCTCGCTGGATTCTGTCGCGAGCAGGGCATTCGTCAGTCCTGGACGCTTCCAGAGTCCCCACAGCAGAATGGGGGTGCTGAGCGCCGCATAGGCTTGGTCATGGAGATCGCCCGCACCTCCTTGACTCACGCCCGTGCCCCCCATTTTCTGTGGCCCTACGCGGTTAGGTACGCCGCTCACCAGCTGAACCTCTGGCCACACGTCTCTCGGCCAGAGGCTTCACCAACCAGTCTTTGGACCGGGTCCCCTGGTATTGCGTCGAGGTTTCGTGTCTGGGGTTGCTTGGCTCTTGTCCGCGACACTTTCGCGGACAAGCTCTCACCTCGCGCCGTTCCCTGTATCTTCCTTGGTTTCCCTAAGGACTCCTCTGACTTCACCTTTTACCACCCTCCCTCTCACCGGTTCTTTGACTCCCGTGACGTCCGTTTCGAGGAGTCCACCCCCTACTACGTCAGGTCGAGGTCTCCCGGTTCCTCCCCCCCCTCTCTTCCTGACTTCCGCTCCCCCTCCTGCTCCCCCGGTACAGCCTCCCCCCCCTGGTCCCGCCCCGTCAGGTGTGTCCCAGGCTACCCCTCCCCCCTCGGTAGCCCCTCAGGTGCAGCCTCCTTCCATGCAGTCCTCCTCGCAGCCTACTGTAGACCCTGCGGGAGCCGGTGCTCGTGGAGAGGGCCCTACAGGTGCTAGCTCTGGGGGTGCTGGAGTTGGAGCTGAGCCCGTGGTTGCAGGAGACTCTTGTCTTCCGGGAGCTGGTGTTGGTCCTGCTGACTTTGGGGGTGCTACGTCTTGGGGTGCGGGTGCACCCTCTTTGGGTCCTGGTGAGCCTGGTCGTGTTGCTGTTGGTGGTGCTGACTCTGGGGGTGGTGCGCCAAGTGCTTTGGAGGGCGGTCCCGGGGCTGCCGCAGCCCCCGACACTACTCCTCCCCCCCACCCCTAACCGACCCGGCACCAGGCTCGTGTTTGCCATGTCCGTGAGGAGCAGCTGGAGTTGGAGAGAGAGGAGAGAGAGCTGCACCGACTGGAGGAGCAGCAGCAGCAGCAGCAGGAGCAGCTGCAGCAGCTGCAGGTGGAGCCGCCGCAGCAGCAGGAGGCGCAGCAGCTGGAGCCGCTACAGCAGCAGGAGGAGCAGCAGCAGCTGCCGCAGCAGCAGCAGCAGCAGCCGCCGCCGCCTCCTCCTCCTGTCTCTGGTCTTCGGGCCCTCGGTCTCCCCTCTCGCTCTCCTTCCTCCTCCCCCTCTCCTCCCATCTCGGGTCCTCCGCTTCCTCCTCCTGACCCCTCCCCAGCTGTTTTCCCTCGTTCTTAGCCTCAGTTATCCCCTCCTCCTTCTCAGACTTGGGCCTCTCATCTCTCCCCTCGTGCTCGTCCCTCGTCTCCTGTTCTCGTTACTGACCTTCGTACTGCCCTCTTTCGTTCTAGTCCGCCTTGTTCGTCTCCGTCTCTCCTTACGTCTCCTCCTGAGTCGGCCTTCACTGCTTCTCTCTCTACTCCTGTCATTTACTACTACCGCACGTACCGTCCTGTTCTCTCTCGTGTTCTCGCCTCTCGTGTTCTAGCCTCTCTTGTTACTGACCCTCGTGCCTCTGTCTCCTCTGTCTCCGCCCTTACTGCCGCAGTCACTGAGTTTGCCTCTACTCGCCGCCTTGACTACGCCACCAGTCTTGTGGCTGCTCCTCCTACCAGTCCTCTGGCCGTCGGGGGTGAGTCTGCCCTTGGCTGTGACGCCCTAGAGGACAGGCAGTTTGAGCTAGAGTTCCTGGCAGCCGCTTCCCCACATCTCTGTGCCATGCTGCTCGCCCCTGAGGGAGACCCCGACGCCCTTGACATACCGAATCCTCGCACTTACGCTGAGGCAGTGTCAGGGCCTTGGGCCTCTTAGCGGAGAGCTGCCATGGACGCAGAGATGGCCTCCTACAGATCCACTGGCACCTACGTCGACGAGGTTCCCCCCCCTTGGGCGAACGTAGTTGATGGCATGTGGATCTACAGGGTGAAGCGGCCACCGGAATCTCCTCCGGTATTCAAGGCGCGCTACGTGGCTAGAGGTTTTAGTCAGCGCGAGGGAGTTGACTTCTTTCAGACCTTCGCGCCTACCCCGAAGATGACCACTCTTCGGGTGTTACTGCACGTAGCAGCACAGAGAGACTACGAGTTACACTCTCTCGACTTCTCCACTGCTTTCATTTACGATAGCTAACACGAGGAGGTCAGGCTGCGTTGTCCCTCTGCCTTCACTGATACTTTCCCTCCTGGGACCCAGTGGAGGCTGAGGCGACCTGTCTACGGTCTTCATCAGGCTCCTCGTGAGTGGCACGACACTCTTCATTCTACCCTCTCTGACCTTGGGTTCCAGCCGTCTTCTGCCGACCCGTCGCTGCTCGTTCGTCGTGGCTCCACACCGTTCTTTGTTCTGGTCTACGTCGACGACCTGGTTTTCGCCACTGCTGACAGGGTTGCCTTGGCAGACGTGAAGTCAAACTGCAGAAGAGACACACGTGCACTGACCTTGGTGAGCTGCGCCACTACCTTGGCCTACAGATCACCAGGGACAAAGCTGCTTGCACCATTACACTCTCACAGTCACACATGGTGCAGCAGGTCCTTCAGCGGTTCGAGCTTCAGCACTCTACAGTACAGCGCACACCTCTTGCTGTTGACCACAGACTTACTGGACCCTTTCCTGACGAGCCGTTTAAGTCTAGTGGTCCCTACGCAGAGCTGGTGGGCTGCCTCATGTACCTGATGACTTGCACTCGCCCGGACCTCGCCTTCCCTCTCAGCATCCTTGCTCGCTTTGTTGCGCCAGGGAGACACCGTCTTGTTCACTGGACGGCAGCTGTGAGGGTGGCGAAGTACCTAGCGACGACATCAGGCGTGGGGCTAGTTCTTGGAGGGCAGCAGCTTGTCGTACTTACTGGTCACTGTGACTCTTCTTACGCTGACGACGCTGAGACTCATAGGTCTACTCAGGGGTACTATTTCAGCTTGGGTTCTGGAGCTGTTTCGTGGTGGTCCACGCGCTCCTCTTCGGTCTCGACCTCTACAGCTGAGGCTGAGATCTATGCTGGTGCCATGGCGGCACAGGAGCTGCGTTGGTTGACCTTCTTGCTCACCGACCTTGGTGAGCGGCTGAGCTCTGCACCGACCTTGTTCACTGACAACAAGGCGTCGATTCTCCTTTGTCGAGAGCCGCGACTGGAGAGCAGAGTGAAGCACATTAACGTCAGGTACTTTCTTCTGCGAGAGTTTTAGAGATGTGGACAGGCTCGCTTCGAGTTTGTGGAGTCCGAGGCCAACACTGCAGACATCTTCACCAAGGCGCTTCTGCCTTGTGACCATCAGAGGTGTTGTGTGCAGTTAGGCATTGTTGACACAGTTTCTAGTCGTGTATAGGCTTGAAACTACTGTTTGCTTTGCTTGTACTCTTGCTGTACACACTTATGAACTCTCGAACTGGCCTTGTGGCCCCTGTTGCTTGTGCTTAGAGTGTGTGGTGGCGTTGTGATCCACCCTGAGCTTTGTTTCTTTGTGACTGGTCTTGTGATCGTACACTTTTGGTTTTGCTTAACACCCCTCACTTAGGCTATGGGAATGTGTCAAATGTTGTAGCATGTAGTGAGGTTTGTCTTAGGGGGTACAGATGTTAGGGTTTGTTATATGTACCCCAACCCACATCAATGAACCAACACTTTCATTCTTGATACACATGGCTATTTTCAAGTTCAAGATTCCTGAATATGAATTCGCAAAAAACCGTGTTACCACCCAAAGTTCAGCATTCTCGCTAGATAGTGATATGTGATTGGCCAGCGACACTCAAATTTCATATCGAGCAGAGTGTCCGCTAGCAATGCAGCACTGTTCACTTGAAGTGAACTTGAAAACCATCTGGTACTAACATGCAACCATACTATACTTAGTTTACCCGTCATTCACACACCAAAAAAGACTCTGTTTTAGCATACAACTTCCGTACGAATACGCGTACGATGCTCCTGCTATATTCTCCCTGGTCTAGAGCTAGGTTGCTGGTCGCTTAGGTTCCCCCATTTGCCCTAGCTTGCCCGCAACACCAAGGTCCTTTGGCTCTCGTTACTCGTAGTCCACGATCGCGCCCCCTTCTATTCGTCGCCCACGCTTCCAACCGTCTGTCCCTTCCATTCGCCGCCATCCCTTCCGCTCGTCGCCCTCCCTTCCGCGCGTCGCCCTGCTCGTCGCTCTACCTTTCGCCCGTCGCCCTCCCATCCGTTCGCCGCTCTACCTGCTACGCGTCGCCCTCCCATCCGATCGTCGCTCCCGTCGCCCTCCCTTCCGTCCGTCGCCCTCCCTTCCGCCCGTCGTCTACCCTTCCGCCCGTTGCCAACCCTTCCGCCCGTCGCTTTCTGTCCCGTCCGTCGCTCTCCCTTCCGCACGCCGCTCTCCCTTCCGCCCGTAGCCTTCCCTTCGTCCCGACGCCCTGCCTCCCGCTCGTCCCCTCGCAATCCCCATCTTCCACTCTCCCCGTCGCCCTCGCCATCCCTCCAGTCTCCCTTCCCATCGCGCACACTTGTCACCTTTCCCTGCTTCCACCCATCCACTTCCCTGCTTTGCCCCACCCCTTCCCTGCTTCCCCCCATCCCCCTCCCTGCTTTCCCTCATCCACTTTCCTGCTTCCCCATGTCCCCTTCCCTGCTTCCCCCCATCCCCTTCCCTGCTTGCCCCCACCCCTTCCCTGCTTCCCCCCATCCCCTTCCCTGCATACCCCCATCCCCTTCCCTGCTTCCCCCCATCCCCTTCCTTGCTTCCCCCCATCCCCTTCCATGCTTCCCCCCATCCCCTTCCCTGCTTCCCCATGTCCCCTTCCCTGCTTTCCCCCATCCTCTTCCCTGCTTCCCCATGTCCCCTTCCCTGCTTGCCCCCATCCCCTTCCCTGCTCCCCCATGTCCCCTTCCCTGCTTCCCCCCATCCCCCTCCCTGCTTTCCCCCATCCCCTTCCCTGCTTCCCCATGTCCCCTTCCCTGCTTCCCCCCATCCCCTTCCCTGCTTCCCCATGTTCCCTTCCCTGCTTGCCCCCATCCCCTTCCCTGCTCCCCCATGTCCCCTTCCCTGCTTTCCCCCATCCCCCTCCCTGCTTCCCCCCATCCCCTTCCGTGCTTTTCCCCCTCCCGTTTCCATCGCTTTCCCCCTCCCGTCGCCCTCGCTCTCCCCCTCCCGTCGACCTCACTTTCCCCCTGCTCACTCGCATCCCCCCTGCTCACTCTCTTGCCTCTGCTCACTCTCTTCCCCCTTTCTCACTCTGCCCCCCCTTCCTCACTCTGTTTCCCCTTGCTCACTCTCTCCTCCTCACTCTATTCCCCCCTGCTCTATTCCCCCTGCTCTGTTCCACCCTGCTCACTCTCTCCTCCTCACTCTAATCCCCCCTGTTCTGTTCCCCCCTGCTTTATCCCCCCCCCGCTCTATTCCCCCCTGCTCTATTCCCCCCTGCTCTATTCCCCCCTGCTATATTCCCCCCTGCTCTATTCCCCCCTGCTCTGTTCCCCCCTGCTCTATTCCCCCTTGCTCTATTCCCCCCTGCTCTATTCCCCCCTGCTCTATTCCCCCCTGCTCAATACCCCCCTGCTCTGTTCCCCCCTGCTATATTCCCCCCTGCTCTATTCCCCCCTGCTCTGTTCCCCCCTGCTCTATCCCCCCCTCCTCTATTCCCCCCTGCTCTATTCCCCCCTGCTCTATCCCCCCCTGCTCTATTCCCCCCTGCTCTATTCCCCCCTGCTCTATTCCCCCCTGCTCTATCCCCCCCTCCTCTATTCCCCCCTGCTCTATTCCCCCTTGCTCTATTCCCCCCTGCTCTATTCCCCCCAGCTCTATCCCCCCCTCCTCTATTCCCCCCTGCTCTATTCCCCCCTGCTCTATTCCTCCCTGCTCGATTCCCCCCTGCTCTATTCCCCCCTGCTCTATTCCCCCCTGCTCTCTCCCCCCTTGCTCTCTCTCTTCACACCTCCTCACTCTGTTCCCCCTTGCTCACTCGGTTTTCCCATTGCTCATTCTCTTTCCCCCTGCTCACTCTCTTTCCCCATTGCTCATTCTCTTCCCCGCTGCTCATTCTCTTTCCCCTTGCTCATTCTGTTTCCCCCTGCTCATTCTGTTCCCCCCCTGTTCACTCCCTTCCCCCATGCCCACCCTCTTTCCCCCTGCTCACTCCCTTTCCCCCCTTCTCACTCTCTTCCCCCCTCCTCACTCTCTTTCCCCCCTGCTCAATGTCTCCCCTGAAATCTGTTTTTTCCTGCTCATTCTGTACAGGTCCCCAGCACCAGGTGTAGGGAGGGACCCACGAGTCCTGCTTTTTTGCTGCTGTGTATGCAGACAAGAGTAGGAAAAGACATATTATTGAGTAACTTGGTTCTTTTTTTACTAGATTGTTGCACTCCGTAGGTGGTCAATGGTCACTCTACTCCATGTATCAAAATTTAGTTATAATAATAAGCATACAACATTCCCACGGCCATGTATCATACCTAGGGGTACTATCAAACAACCAACATTCCAGCCGGTAAGCATACAAAAGAATGACAACTGACAAGGAAGCAACACGAAGAGGAAGAAATAAAAAGACACTCCTGGAATGGTAGGAGACAAACAGAAGGACGACCAGGGGAAAAGAGGGACAGAGAAACGGAGGAAGGGACGTATGGAGGAAGAGAGGAACAGAGGAAGGGAAGGATGGATGGGGAGGGAGGACGGGGGAAAGGGAGGACAGGCAGCACCACGTCTGCCTATGCTGTGTGACTGTGCCCACCGCCATCCACCCACAGCGCCCCAAGCAGCTCCCTGGTGCAGAAAAGCACAAGGGATGAAGAGGTGCCGCTGGGCCGAGGGCGGTGTGGGAAACACCTGGAGGGGAGGGTGAGAGGATCGGATGGGGAAAGGACGGGTGGGGAGGGATGAGGAGAGGATGGATGGGAAGAGGAGGGAAGTGGTGAGGTGGGATGGGCGGATGGGGAGAGGACGGGAGGGGGTGGGGAGAAGAGGGGATGGTGAGAGGAGGGGATGGGGAGAGGAGGGGACGCGGTGACGAGGGAAGGGGAAAGAAGCGGATGTGTATAGGAGGAGATGGGGTGAGGAGGAGATGGGGTTAGGAGTATGGTGAATGGGGTATGGTGGAATGGTGAAAGTAGGCATGGGGAATGGAAGGATGGGGAACGGAGGGAGAGTGAATGACGGGATGGGGAAAGGAGGTCTGGGGAAACGAGGAAAGGGGGATGGGAAGTAGGATGGCAGGGCGAGAGGAAGGGATTGAGAGAAGGGGGGAGGAAGGGCGGAAGAGGGGGATGGGAAGTAGGAAGAGGTGGGAAATGGCGACGTGTGACGATGCCACGGGGTGCGGCGGAGATGGGGTGAGGCATGGGGAGATGAGGGATGGATGGATGAGTGATGGAGAGGTGAGGCATGGGGAGATGAGGGATGGGGAGGTGAGAGATGGGGAGGTGAGGGATGGGGAGATGAGGGATGGGGAGGTGAGAGATGGGGAGGTGAGGGATGGGGAGATGCGGGATGGGGAGATGCGGGATGGGGAGATGAGGGATGGGGAGATGAGGGATGGGGAGATGCGGGATTGGGAGATGAGGGACGGGGAGGTGAGGGAAGGGGAGATGACGGATGGGGATATGCGGGATGGGGAGACGAGGGATGCGGAGATGAGGGATGGGGAGATGAGCGATGAGGAGGTGAGGCATGGGGAGGTGAGGCATGGGGAGGTGAGGCATGGGGAGGTGAGGCATGGGGAGACGAGGGATGGAGAGATGAGGGAAGGGGAGATGAGGGATGGGGAGACGAGGGATGGGGAGACGAGGGATGGGGAGACGAGGGAAGGGGAGATGAGGGATAGGGAGACGAGGGAAGGGGAGATGAGGGATGGGGAGACGAGGGAAGGGGAGATGAGGGATGGGGAGACGAGAGTGTGGGGTGTGGCGTAGCAGGAGGAAGGAGAGTTGCAAGGCGCGGGGAGTCCCCATTCTCGTTAGAGGGGAGGGAGCGTGGGCGACGGGAGGGAGGGAGCGTTAGTAGTGACGGATGGGTGTGCGCGTACATGACGTAAGGGGTGTGAGCATGAGCGATGGGAGGGGAGTGAGCGTGGGCGACGGGAGGGGAGTGAGCGTGGGCGACGGAAGAGAGTGAGGAGGGGCGAAAGAGGCGTCGCGCAAAGGCGACGGGAGGGGAGGGAGCGTGATCGTGCGTCAGGAAGGAAGCGTGGGCGACCGGAGGGAGTGATCATCCTCTTTGGAGGGGAGTGCGCGAAGGCGACGGGAGGGGAGTGCGCGAAGGCGATGGGAGGGGAGTGCGCGAAGGCGACGGGACGGGTGTGCGCGAAGGCGACGGGAGGGAAGTGCGCGAAGGCGACGGGAGGGGAGTGCGCGAGGGCGATGAGAGGGAGTGAGCTATGGCGATGGAGGGAAGTGTGAGACATTGACGCGAGAATGGTCGCGTGGGCGACGGAGGGGAGTGAACATAGGCGACGGCGACGATTAGCGTGCATTTTCAAACCAATCGACACACATGGCTTCGCTTTTTAACCCCCTCCAAGCACCAAACTCGTGGTGCAGTGTCGCACAGTTGGGTGACGAATGCTGAAGCTCGTCGCTGCCTGGTTTCGCTTTCGCACCTGTTCAGTTCTCGAAATGTTTTTTTTTTATGCCTTTCGCGAACATGATTAAAGCCCCCGCGTCACTGTTGCAAAAACCATGCTGACTTCGGGCTTTAAGGTGGGCAGAGACGAGCAGAGGTGGTAGGCAGAGGAGGTGGTGGTGATGGTAGTGGTGGTGATGGTAGTGGTGATGATAGTAGTGGTTATGATAGTAGTGGTGATGATAGTAGTGGTGACGATAGTAGTGGTGATGATAGTATTGGTACCGGTAATCACGATGGCGCCGTTGCGAGTGTGGTGTGGAGGCTGCTGAACCACTACTCCTTCCCCTCTGCGTGATGCCAGGAGGAGAGCAGCGAGCAAGGAAGGTGGGGGGCAGGTCGGGGGTGGCGGGATAACGAGGAGTGAGTGAGGGCGAAATAAGGGGTGGGTGAGAGGGGGATGCGGAGTGAGTGAAGGGGGAATGAGGAGTGAGTGAAGGGGGGTGACGGGAGAGGGAGCGGGGAATGAGAGATGGGCGGGGTTGGAGAAGTGAATGAGGATGACAAACAATGAGACCTAGATCGCGGTTCTGAAGTCTGGACACCATCTGAAGTGTGGACACTTTGGTATCAATGAACACGCCTGATTGGCTGCCATGCTCCAAGATTTCTCGCAACTTGTGCGGTGACCAATGATCGAGTGTGTTTACACGTCACTGAGGGAAAAATTTGGTTGATGGTGTCCAAGCTTCGCCCAGAACCGTGACACTAGAATGATGCGTGGATTGATGTTGCTGGTTGATATTGCTGTGGTTGAAGAAACGCTCTCGATTCTTATTGGCTCGTGTACTTTTTGGGTTGCGTAGCAACCTTATACATTTTGTTTCGCTTTTTGGGGAACTGACCGTGAACAGTGATTTTCCCTAACCTTTTTGGGAAAAGAACACTGTTCAACTGTTTAAGTTCCCCAAAAATGTGAAACCAACTGTACCCAATAATTCCATAGTCGTCGATAAGTACGGCGAATGGAAAAATTGGTTGGACCAAATGACAACACGCCCTAAGACGCATACACAAACTATCGCACGCGTGAACGTATATAAAAACTACATTTGGAAATCGTGCCTGTTTTGAAGCGATTACTAAATGCATCAATGCTGCAACTGAGATTGATGTGGTGCGGAAAAGGCGAGCATAGCTGCCCCACCGACGATGACAACCTCAATTGCATACACGGAGGCACCTAGCATTACACCCCGAAACAGACACAACACGTTACACAAACGAAAGCACACAAACATGTGCAAAAACGAGAACTGTTGTGAATGCATCGAAGCTAATGCTAGAATGCATCGATAATGCAACTGTAATTGATCTGGTATGGAAGAGGCGAGCAAAGCTGCCCCACCAACGATCACAACCCCAGTTGCATTTACGAGGCACTTAGCACCACACCCCGAAACAGACACAGACACTAACATGCGTATACACGTGCACGCACGCACACATACAGGATCACACACACATACACACACAGCACAAAAACATACAGCTAATAAGCATGCAAGCCTAATCAATTAGGTTCAGCCATGTATAAATGATTGCTAGCATGTCCCCCAATCTCCTCCCTCCCTCCCTGGTCTCCTCCCCCTCTCCCCCCCCCTTCCCTTTTCTCTGCAAGAAACAAAGAATGCAGCTTGAACTCCCTGCACAGGAAAGAAAAAACAGCAAATGCAACTCACACTCCCTGCACCAACAAGGACAAAATCAGAGTATAATTCTTGCATGAGCTGCAAAAGACAATAAAATCAGAAAATGCAGCTCTCACAATGCATAAGAAACAAATTAATCGCTAAAGAAATTGCTGATGAAACTAAAGAGTGATTAAGCAATCAAACTTGAGTGCATGCAATACCTCGCAGCCACCCTTGCATTCACCCTCACATGCATCCTCACACTCATGCTTGCACTCACTCTAGCACTCACTTTCCCACCCACTAATGCCCACACAGTCGCTCTCAACTTTTATTAGACACACTCACGGAAACACACTCTCAAACCCTGGCACTCAACCTTGCACTTATGCTCGCGAACATGCTCGCGCTCACTCTCACACTTACACAGAAAATCACACACATGCAATCACACACACCCACTCACCCTCGCCCTCACACTCACCCTTGCACTCACTCTTGCGCTCACACCCGTATTCACCCTCACACTCATACTCGTATTGCTCTCACACCCACCCTCGCAATCATTCTCGCACTCACGCTCGCACTTGCTCACATTGACCCTCTCGTACACACACTCGCACTCACTCTTGCAGACACCCTCAAGTGCATGCGCACGCTCACTCTCACACCTGCTATTGCTCCCGAATTCAAACCCGTGCTCACACTCTCGCACACGCTCGCAGTCACTCTCGCAACCACTCACGGACACTCGAATATTTTTTCAACCGTTCTTATACACACTCAAGGAAACACACACAAACCCTCGCACTCACCCCCTGACTCGCGCTCACGCTCACCCGACCACCCACACACGCACGCGCGCACACATTGCGCACACCCTCAAAGTGAACTTGCACTACCACACTCGCAATCACTAGCCAACGTCAGCGGCCCTCAGCCTAAGGCCGGAGCACCAGGCGCCTGTGCCCAAATCGTCATTGCATTACGTAAACGTGCTACAGCCAAGCATCCTAGGAGCCAACACAATAGCCAACCTTTCACATACCCAAATATTTAGTATTATCTCTTAGCCCTGCCCTATAACTCAACAGAAACCTTCTCTCTCTATCTCTCTCCCCCTCCCCCCCACCCCACTCGACCTCTCGTCATCTCTCTAACCTTCGTCTCACCGCATTGTGCCGACGATGCTCGCACCCTGCGTTGCTGCTGCCGCCGCTGATAAGAGGAGATCTCATAGGTTAGACCCCTGGAAGGAAGGGGTGGAACGGGCGGGGGCAGGGAGGGAGGGGGTTGTGAGCATGTGCGCCTCACATTAGCAAACGCATGGCATGTGCATACCATGCCTTAATACTTTCCACTAGAATGCGACGAAAAACGCCTAGAGCCAACGAAATTAAAGCCAAGGAGCCAAAGGCGCCAGCGCCAGCGCCCAAAGGCGCAAGAACCGGTGCGCAAAGGCGCAAGAACCAGTGCGCAAAGGCGCCAGCGCCAGCGCCCAAAGGCGTCAGCGCCAGCGCCCAAAGGGGCCAGCGCCAGCGCCCAAACGCGCAAGCGCCAGCGCGCAAAGGCGCCAGCGCCAGCGCGCAAAGGCGCCAGCGCCAGCGCGCAAAGGCGCGAGCGCCAGCGCCCAAAGGCGCCAGCGTCAGCGCGCAAAGGCGCCAGCGCCAGCGCCCAAAGGCGCCAGCGCCCACGGCGACCGCGCCCAACGGCGCCAACGCGAATGGTGCCAGCGCCCAACGGCGCCAGCGCCTTACGCGCCAATGGCGCCTAAGGTGCTAGCGCCCTAAGGCCAATGCCCTTGGCGCTTACGCCCTAGGCGCCATAGGCCTAGGTTCCAACGTCTAGGAGAGAGCGCCCTAGGGCGAATGCTCTATGCTATATTGCGCTCTAGGCGCGCGCGGCTTAGGCATTAACAAGGTAGCACTCTTTAGAACTACCTGAGCTAGTTGACTTCTTGATGACATCGCAAGAGTTGGAAAGGGCACGAGGGAAAGTCTCGAGAGCACTTTGGGAGGAGTGGTTGGGTGGGAGGGCAATGAAACCCTAGCCTACTGTTCACCCAATCCCAACAAAGTCAGCAAAGAAAGATTCTTTAGTGCAATCTGTTCCTAGCGTTAGAAGTCCCAATCTGTTGCTAGTAGTTTCATGGTTGATAATTGAATTAAAAACATACATGGCATTCTTATATTGTTATCAATTCGGTATCCACTCTTTGAATATATGTGAGGGACGCTATAAGAGAGTAACACTCTACGCAACCCTTCCGACGTTAAAGCGTCGAGCCTTGTTCTCTCAACCACTCCTCGCTGCTTCAGCTAGCCCTAATGTGGTTCATAGGAAGAAAAAGGTTTTGCGAGTTCAGCCAAATAGAATTTTGGGAAATGATCAAATTAGGGCCGAAGAGTGCTAGAGGGATGACCAAATTAGGGCTAGAAAATCTCGACCGTAGGATTTCAACCCTGAGCTGCCCAAGAGGCTAGGCGAACAAGCCGAACCGTGACTGAAAGAGAAATGCTACCAGCACCAAACTTCGTGTCCAACTTATTCTTAAGGGTTAACGACCGTCGTCTACTACTACGCGCGCATCGCGCTCTTCTGGAAGTAAAATTCTGCCGTGTTAATTTGTGAGTCCAAAACAATATATTTCATTATGGGTGATACATATCACTAACTGATCGGAAACGCGCAGAAAAAAGAAAATATTACCCATTCGGAAATGGACGTGAATAGGGAGGCATCAAATCTAGACACTGTCAAAGTACAATCTCACTTGTAGGCTGTAGTGGGGCACACCTTATGGGGTACAACACTTCTAGGGTAAATACTTGTACCCCAACTCTTGCTAATCCAATCATTCCTGCACAGTTATTCTGACATGGTATTCAGAGCAGGAAGCCTATAAAGTTTTTAGGGCCCACCTTGCGCTGTTCGGCCCTCTCGCACGGTATCACGCTGTCTGCAGCTACTCGCACTGCCTGCCCTAGCGCGCTGCCCTGCTGTCACGCGCGCCCCTGCTGCCCGCGAGCACCTCCTACCCCGCGCGCCCCTGCTACCCAAGAGCAGCCCCTGCCCCGCGCGCCCCTGCTGCCCGCGAGCAGCCCCTGCTCCGCGCGCCACTGCTGCCCGCGAGCAGCCCCTGCCCCGAGCGCCCCTGCTGCCCGCGAGCAGCCCCTGCCCCGCGTGCCACTGCTGCCCGCGAGCAGCCCCTGACCCG